CGTGCTCCCGAGGTATCGTTTGCCCTGTCGTTCCCTTCTCACCCTACGATCCCTCTCCTCGTTCCCATTGCTCCTTTCGCCCCCAGCCTCGTCGTAGAGTCAATCTTTTCTACGGCGCCGGTAGCCTGCGCGTTCTCACGAGCGCACCGACCGCGCGCCCACCACGAGGTCTGTCTCGGATGCATTCTGCTGCGCTTTGAAACGAGCCACGGATGGGACTCTTCATTGTTTGCCTACCTACCCTACCCTACGTATCCTCCAGCGGCAACCCTCACCCACCCCGTTGCGGAAAGCGCTAAAGAGAGTTCTCTGAAGTATCCTCTGCCTCTTGCCGCGCTGTTAACCGCGTCGACGCCGCGCCCTCGCCTCTTTCATTGAAACAAGCGGCGTGAAACCGCCGAGAAATCACACGCGGCGGTAAACACGGGGCGTCTCTCTCTCTCTCTCGCGGCGGTCCAGCGAACAACCAGTACGCGAGTGTGTATATGTGTGCGCGCCCGTTCGCATGCGAGATTTTGCAAATTTTACTCGGACTAGAAATCAAGTCGGGTAAAAAGGTCAAACGGGAAAAGGAAACATCGCGGAAACAAGATACATTTTGGAGGAATTTCCCCCCTCCCCGGGGGAATACGCGCGATACGTGGCGTAACACACGGCAATGGCCGCGCGCGATCCCACCCCCGGTCTCACTTGACCGGGCGGAGAATCGAGCCGGACTCTCGATTTGTCGGGGAGCGAAACGAAACTGGGCTTCGCCGCGCGGAAACCACACTGACGTCACACCTGGTCCCGCGCTATTTAAACGCGGTCTCAGGCCGTTTCATAGCTAACGCCGAGCCCCGGCCACGACGAAGTCGTGCGAGACCGGGAGCCTCGTGAATTTATACGCCGTTTAACCCGGTTAAAACTTTGGCACTTAAATTAAACAATAGAACGAACCGCGCCCCGGCACCTCCTGGAGTCGAACGTACGTCTTCGGCTGAGAACGGAGCTCCAGCCGTTTCATCTCCCCCCCCCC